GTTTGCGTTCTCATGAGAGTTAAACTATTCTTAAAGCAGAACTTAAGAATGGAAAATTGAGGTAAAAGGTGAAGCTCAATTTTCTAGAACAGTGGTTTCCAAAGTTGGAGTCGGGACCCAGAGTGGGGTCCTGAAACATAAAGATGGGGTCCTGAAAAGATTTTCTGCATTGATTACRCTAAAAAATGTGAACTAACAACATTTATTTTGCCTTTGTTCTTACAAAAGAGTAAGGTCAGTGTCCTTACAATGGAGATAAATAGCATAATGAATATTGTTACTATGTCCTTGTTTATTTGACATAAAAACAGTGTTTATCACCMAACAACAGCTGGGGGCACAGGTTTCTGCTGCGGGTAGTTAGTGSGTCAAAAGCTGAAAAGTTTGGGAACCACTGATCTAGAATGTTCCTAACCAGCTTAACAAGTTGATTTTCATTGATAAAAGGGGATTTTTGCACTTTTATGCTGTCTCATTCTGATTTCTTTAAAGCTAACTTAATTGTCTGTCTGCATTCTAAAACAGAAAACTCCTTTAAGTGCAAAGCCTGTAAGGACACAGAGTGGTCTGCAGAAGGAAGTACATCATGCAACCTGCGGCTGGTGGAGTTCATCYCGTTCACAGACAGTGGAGCTGTGGTGATCATGGTCTTGGCTTGTGTTTTAGTGGGTCAGACTCTGGCTGTGTCTGTTCTCTTTGCCATCAACTACAACACACCTGTAGTCAGATCTGCAGGAGGACTGATGTGCTTCTTAATCTTAGTCTGTCTCAGTTTGTCCACCCTTAGCGTGTTCTTCTATTTTGGAAAGCCCACGGTCGTTTCCTGTTTTTTACGGTACATCCCTTTTCTGTTGTTCTACACGGTTTGCCTGGCGTGTTTCGTCGTGCGCTCCTTTCAGATTGTTTGCATTTTCAAAATTGCGGCCAAGTTCCCCAAACTCCAAACCTGGTGGACACGATACCACGGCCAATGGCTGCTCATCGCTGGAGCGTTTGCCACTCAGGCCCTGTTACTTATTATCAGCTTGTCCACTAAACCTCCCAGACCCTACAACGAGACGTCATGGTACCAAGAGCAAATTGTACTCAGCTGTGACTTGAATATCGAAGCAACATCTTGTTCCCTTGTTTTGCTTGTATCATTGTGCTGCCTTTGTTTTATTTTCTCCTACATGGGCAAAGACCTGCCAAAGAACTACAATGAGGCTAAAGTGATCACTTTCTGCCTCCTGCTGCTGATCCTCACCTGGATTCTGTTTTCTACCGTTTATTTGCTTTATCGTGGAAAGTTCATCCAAACTCTCAACGCTCTGGCCGTTCTCTCGAGTCTCTACTCCTTTCTGTTGTGGTATTTCCTCCCAAAATGTTACATCATCATATTTCAACCCCACAAAAACACRCAACAGTATTTTCAGGGTCTTATTCAAAATTACACTAAAACAATCAGCCAGTAGCTTCTTCCGTAGTAAATGTAATGTTTTCATTGGCCGTTTTCATTGCAGCTGTGATCATTTATTAATTTATTTAATTGTCTTCCCAATTTTTAAAGCTAGTTAATGAAACTCATTAAATTATATGGCCGTATGATTCAATTCAGTTCAGTTTTTATCTTTTATATTACTTTTATATTTGGTCAGCAATGGATGCCATGCATGGAGGAAAATGCAAAACTCAACCAGTGTGAGGTGTTCCACTCATGTTTCAAATGGCATGGACACCAGTCTGAATGATTGTGTGCTGTACAGTTTATAGACCCTGCATGCAAAATTTAGAAACAAAACAATCTTTTCTTATTGTTGTTGATGTTCTCAAAATCAGATACTTTGTACCAAAATGAGGAAAAAAAGAAAAATGTCTCCTGTGAAACACTCAAGGTTTCTTTCAACAAACATACCAGCTGTGACTTTGTGACTAAGGTCAAATTTATTCTGAAATGTTCAATAAAATTATAATAATAAAAATTTCAGCTTTTTGCTTACTTTACTACTGATCTGACTGCGACCTCTCCTCTATTAAAATGGTTCAAAGGTACTTATATTTAAGTATTATAAGTGAGGCTGTAAAACGGCAATGATTAAGACTAGACTTTCTGCTTGTCTCAACATATGAACATGTAGGCTTAGATTTTTGTTGCTTTTCTTGTCTTATACAGAGTAAATTCTAAGTTGCATCTCTTTCAGTGGCTAATATTCTAAGAAAGATTAAAGCACAATAGTTTGGTGTTAAGAAAAACAAATTTATTTTAACTTCATAAACAACACGACACATGGTCACAAATCGCTGCTGCTGTCAAAACTTCTTGATAAAGGCCCTGTCACATTATGACGTTTTAGACAACTTATGCCAACTTATGAAAACTTTAAAGACATCTACGTTGAAGATGGAATTGAAAGAATCAACTGGAAGCTTCTTTAAGGTGTGTACATACTGCAATTCCAACAAACTGATCAAATATATAATGTTTATCAGCAATTTAGACATGAAAAATGTTTCTTAAGTTGGCATAAGTTGTCTAGTGCGACAGGGCCTTAAGAAGCATTACATTTAAAATTGTAGTAGTTTTTAAACTTGGGTACTTGGTCAGTATTTTGCTCGTGTTTTTATCTCCTGTAAAAGTATGCCCTTTATGAATACGAGAGAAAAAAAATCCATTTATGTCTTCATTTGTTATAAATAAGACAAAAGCTGAATTAGATTTTAGGAACTTTTGTGAAAACAAATCACATATGAGAGTTATGATAAGAACATGTAATGACTGTAATATACCTATGAGCTTGTATTGAATCTATAAATGTAAAAATAATATAAACCTTTCTACAATCGTTACATAACATGTTGTAGGTAAAACTCTGTCACCTTTATAATGAGCTTTCTGTCCCACTGATTCCCCGCCACCCTTCCGACCACAGAGAGCCTGCATTCAAATAAAAGTGACAGCTCTGATTATTTATCACTTTAGTCTGCGGCAGAATTGCAAATGTTCCTCTCACATATATAATCTGTGTGGTCTGGTGGTGAATTGTGCACATACAGTATCATTTGTAAGAGGAGGTGGACTTTATCTAAAACCAGTGAACCCAGGTTGGATTAATTTGCATGGGTTTAATCATCACTTTGTTCTGTTTGTTTATTTTAAAATACATCCAGAATTGTTGAGATTGTGTTTTAAAGAACTAAGTAGATATTATTATGCTCACAGAGCTACCTGTCTTAAATGTGCAATACACAGACACAAACAGGCTTATCGGAACCAGCTTAATCAAAATTTGATATCACTTTCATTTTCTCTGTATTGCTCTGATTTAATAACCTGTGTGTGTGTGTGTGTGTGTGTGTGTGTGTGTGTGTGTGTGTGTGTGTGTGTGTGTGTCTATGCATATACACTGCATGTAGATGTACATTCATGAATATATTCTGGTATTATATAAAATTCTAGGTAAACAGATTGTTGTTTTAATCTTTATGAAATTGTAACTTAGAATAAGAAAAAAGAAGATTTTTTTTTTGTTAATAAGCTTTGGAGAAGGGTGGGATTAAATAAGTTTTTTGACTTCTTCCCATTCCTTTTCAAATATGTTAATTTTGTTAATTTTGTTATCATTTTTTACTTTTTATACATGCTTGAAATAAACTAACTGACTAATAATACCAGCCCCTGACACAAACTAATAATATTAAACAAGAAGAAACTCTGAAACTTTCTAAATACAAACAAAGATCAAACGTTTAACACAAGGCAYAACATCATCATTAAGATAAGAAAATTAAGATTAAACTAGGCAGCATGCATGTTTAGTTCCCAATGATGATAAATAAACTGTATTTTTACAAAAACACAGATTCTCAGTGGTTTCCCTGCTTTGTATTCAATAGAATAAAATGTTTGTTTGTTTGTTTGTTTGTTTGTTTGTTTGTTTGTTTGTTTGTTTGTTTGTTTGTTTGTTTGTTTGTTTGTTTGTTTGTTTGTTTGCAGCTCTAATATTTAATGCTCACGTTTACGGCAAATCAAATGCTCATTTTGTTACCTGCATTGTCTAATAAATGTCACAAGATGTCATTACATCCTACACAACTTTGAAAGAAATTAAGAAGAATGACATTCCAGTCAAACTCATCGGGGTGAACATTTTTAAAAATTTACATCAGGGTTTCAAATTCTGTTGGGCTGACCAAAGGAAGAATCCAGAATCTGTTTAATATTATTTACTGGAGTTCTTTCTGACAGAAGTAATAACCTGGTTGGTTTGTGGTGTGATTGTTGAACTTTGTGCAGCAGCACTTGTTGATTCTTTTGCATACTGATTTGTGAAAACCAATCCAACCATTTATGTATTTATCAAATGTCACACTTTCGCTCATGTGTGGAAATGACCACGGAAGCTAAGCCATCAGCACTTTGTTGCAACTTAATATAAACAGAGCTGGATCCCACCTGAACCCACATCAGACGAGGAGAACTGCAACAATGAAGCCGTTTCTTGYGTCTCTCCTTCTGCTGGGAGGTTTTCTACAAGCTTCGCCCTCAGAGTTTAACCTGGATGGAGATTATTTGATCGGCGGACTCTTTGATATTCATTTTGTCAGTAAAAAATTTCAGCATAACAGACCACAAGCCCTCGACTGCTCCAGGTGAGTTTTGTCATGAATCAGTGGTGAAAAGGTTTTAGGCATTGAGAGAAATCCTCACTTCACTTCAATTCACTTTATTCATTTCATTTGTAACACAAATGAACAAAGTACAAAATCTAATCTAATGAAGAAAAGAAAAATAAAACACTGACATTGCGTTAATTCTAAAAAGGTTACATGTAAATACAAATATGTACTCAACATATGGTTTTCACATTTGACTCCTGTCACTAACTCTAACATTGTGCAGAACAGAGCTGGCCCGTGGCATAGGCAGTATAGGCATATGCTAAAGGGGCATCACAAATGGGAGGGGGGGGACAAAAACAATTATTAAAATACTGATTTTATGTTGTTTTATTAATCCCAAGAATTTAGCTAAATGCTCTTCAAATGGCTGGAAAATACATTGTTTTGAGGAGTTCTTTTACAAAATACTATGAGAGAGTATACCCCTGGACCCCMCTTAAACTGCTTCAGTCTACAACTGCTCAGCAACATGAACAGCTCATTGTTGTCAGCAAATGTGAGGTAGACTTCTGGTATTCGGTTTAAATAATTATATTTTAAATTGTTTTAATTGGACAACCTGGTTTCTAAAGATAAGAAATAATATAAAGACAGTTTGGCAAATGAATGTAAGTGATAGTTAGAAAATTGCACAAGGGGTGCCACCTTTAAACAATCACATGTCCCACGCAGCCCATAAAGCAGTCGTAGCAAACATCTGAAAATGTTCTGATTGGTCTGATTTGTATAAAAAGCGAGTGTTGGCTCTTTGAGCAAATGCAATGTTTTACTTGAAGTCTTGCTCGATAATAATCCTCGTTTGTAACAACCACACCTGTAAAGTGTTGATGTAGTCCTAAAGGTTGCAGTAAACATGTGGCTTTGGAATTATTAGATTTCTTTCTGCTGCCATGTCTTTTTTGCTCTCAGTCAACCCTTCAGCATCTCAAATTACCGGAGGTTTCAGCTGATGCGATTCACCGTAGAGGAAATCAATAACTCCACCAGTCTGCTTCCTAACGTGTCTCTTGGTTATGAGATGTTTGACCACTGCTCAGACATGTTCAGTTTCCCGGGGGTTTTCAAACTCATATCAGTCAACGGCTTGATCCATCCTTGGGCCGAACCGTACAAGCATCTGTCCAAAGTGATTGCAGTGGTTGGTCCTTTCACAAGCACTCAGGCCCTGACTGTTGCCCCGTTTTTCATGGCGGATCTCCTTCCAATGGTAAGTTTGGAGCATGAATAGTAAATCTAAGTATCTTAGACAGAATCCAGTCATGGTATCATCACAACCAACAGGTGAAGTTAGCAGAACTGTTTATCTGAATACAAATGTGTTTTTTGGTTTTTGGGGTGTAATTGCTCAGTTTTTTTTTGACAAGTGGCCATTATAATATGTCTGATTAGTGTATTTTGTGTTTTTTCTTTATTGTCTTTGAAAAAAATGAATGTCTCTTCAACAGGTTAACTATGGATCTTCAACTTCTGATTTTTCCAAAAAGGTGAAATTTCCATCGTTCTTGCGAACAGTCCATCCCAACAAGGACGTCATCGAAGTGATTTTTACCATTGTGAAACACTTCAACTGGCGCTGGGTGGCTTTCCTCAATGGTGACAGTGATTACGGAATTGATGGTCTGGAATTGTTCATAAAAAGAATTAGGAACACTGACATATGCCTGGCATACTCCAGAAACCTCAATCCCAGCACAAATTTTTCTCAAATGTTCAAAGAGATCGAAAGGTTGAGGATACACGTCATTATAGTTTTTACTGCTGAGATAGCTGCTGAAGCTCTCATCGAGTCAGCTGTTCAGCTGAATGTATCCAAGAAAGTTTGGGTCGCAAACGACGCCTGGTCTTTGAACCAACACCTCCCAAACATGAAGGGAATCCACAATATTGGCACTGTGCTTGGAGTGGCTCAGCCAGTGGTAACAATACCCAGTTTCAGTGATTTCATTCATTCTGTAGGCCAAGTTAAGTGTGAAAAGGATGAGCAGCAGAAGTTTTGCAATCAAGTTTGCAAATGTAGCGAGTGGAGCACCGAGGGGATCCTTAATGCCGACCCGTCGTTCTCTTTTCCTGTTTACTCTGCTGTATACGCCATCGCTCATGCCCTGCACAACGCCTTACAGTGTGGAGCTACCAGGTGTAGGAATRTTACAGTGTACCCAAACAAAGTGAGTATGCATCTAATTTTCTGAGCGTAAGCATCTTTATTCAATAGTGTTATCATTCTGACAACATGTAATTTTGTTGTAAATTTTGTCTGTTCATGTCAGGTTCTAGCAGAGTTACAGARGTCCAATTTCACTCTGTTAAACCGAACTATCCAGTTTGATGAAAACGGTGACCTGAAGTTCGGCTCGTACTCCATCATTTTCTGGAACAGCAGCGGTAACGCCCAGAAGGTTGGGTTTTTTCAGTTCTACCCGACACACAATTTCTTCATCAACAGCTCGAGTATCCTCTGGTACGAAAATGGAGAGGTAACTTTTTTTATTAGTAGTAGTATTTTTTTATTACTGTAATAAAATATAACATGTTTTTATTGAGTTTATGTTTATAAAAATAGTTTGTGTTGCTTTCCACACTGTTCAAGGATCCATGCTGATGAGCTGGGGTACAAATAGCATTTTTACATATTCCTCTAACCCCATGAAGCATAAAATTATGGGCCTTTATAATTCAGAGGTATTATAGAGTCAGGATGCACAAAAATACAGAAATAAACTGAGCTCTTGTGTATTTCTGTGAGGAAAATCTCAGATTCTAATAATAAAATGCCACTAATTACATAAAATTAGGTTCAAATGAAGAAAATGGGAGTACAATTTGATTTCTTTTAACCAATTGTTTTGCAAAAAAAATTTTTTTTGCTTAACTTATCTTACTTGCCTCATACCTATAAGCTTTGTTTTAAACAGACAAATGTTATGAGAAGACAAGACAGGTTGAGGTTCTGTAATAAAACATGGAATCATTAGGTTGGCACAGTGAACAATCTCTAATTTGTTTGAAAAATCAGAATTACTGCCGTTTTTGCTTACTGTAGTTTTGTATGTGGCTGTCTTTGCAGATACCTACTTCATTGTGCTCCACAGAATGTACCGAGGGATATGTCAGGAAGCTAAATGAAATCCACAAGTGCTGTTTTCTGTGTGAAATCTGTCCAAATGGAACCTACATCAAYGCTACAGGTGCTTCACAAAATGATCACAAGTTTAGGGTTTCTGTCACTTCAACAGAGCTTCATAAAGTCTATGAGATGTTTTGTGTTCGTTCAAGTTTATTTCATCAGTGAGTGTTTTAACTGACAGCAGGTCTGCCCTTTAACAGAAGACCCCTACAACTGCATCCGCTGTAAGGACACAGAGTGGTCTGCCAGAGGAAGTACATCATGCAGTAAGCGGCTGGTGGAGTTCATCCCGGCCGCAGACAGTGGAGCTGTGGTGATCATGGTKGGGGCTTGTGTTTTAGTGGGTCAGACTCTGGTTGTGTCTGTTCTCTTTGCCTTTAACTATAACACCCCTGTAGTCAGATCTGCCGGAGGACCCATGTGCTTCCTGATCCTAGCCTGCCTCAGCCTGTGTAGTCTTTGTGTGTTCTTTTATTTTGGTAAGCCCACAGCTGCTTCCTGCGTCCTGCGATATTTCCCGTTCTTTTTGTTCTACACCGTTTGTATGGCGTGTTTCGTCGTGCGCTCTTTTCAGATAGTTTGCATATTCAAAATATCTGCCAAGTTCCCCAGACTCCTCAGTTGGTGGACGAAATATCACGGGCAATGGCTGCTCATCACTGGAGCGTTTGTCATTCAGGCCCTTTTACTTGTCATCAGCTTTTGCTATGATCCTCCCAGACCCTACAATGAAACATCATGGTACCAAGAACAAATTGTACTTTTCTGTTACTTGAATCTTGAAGCGACGGCTTGTACTTTCATTTTACTTGTCATGTTGTGCTGTCTTTGTTTTATTTTCTCCTACATGGGCAAAGACCTGCCAAAAAACTACAACGAGGCCAAAGCGATCACTTTCTGCCTGTTGGTTCTGATCCTCACCTGGATCATGTTTGCCACCGTGTACATGTTCTAYCACGGAAAGTACATCCAAATGTTTAATGCTCTGGCAGTTCTCTCCAGCCTGTACTCTTATCTGCTCTGGTATTTTCTACCAAAATGCTACATCATCATATTTCAACCCCAGAGGAACACACAGCAGTACTTTCAGGGTCTCATTCAGAGCTATACCAAAACTTTTAGCCAATAAYGAAAACTAAATGTATGTGTCTGTTTTCAGCTGTTGAGTCTTGTGATTTWATTTCTGGAATATTTTGTCTCTTAAAAAAACTACTCTTCCTGCTGAACCTAAATGACTGATGTGATCCTTTCATCCTTTGGTACACAGAAAAGGGAAACTATTTTAAAAAGAAAAAATATAAGCAATTAAATATTTTGTTTGGAGATGTTTTAGTAGGCATATATAGAACAAAACAAACCTTGTA